AATTTTTCCACACACACCCACAGAGACAGCCGTGCTCCTCTACCGTTTGTTGTTTTGAAGAGGCGCAACAAACACAAGGAATTGTATTATATTTTTTTCGTTTTCTGAAAAAAAGTGAATTTTTCTGTCTAAAAATAAAATATTCATCCAGTCGGATAGTCACAGGCAGGCAGTCAGCCAAGCATCTAGCCAGCCAACAGCCAAACATTGCCTACAACAACATAGCCGACTACTCATCTATCCATCCGTCCATCCATTGTTTTGTTGATCTCATGCATTCCAAAATAACTTGAAGGAGAAATTTATGACAGTTTTTTTTTTCTTTCGTTTCGTTTTCTTTATTTTATTGTTATTATTCTTATGGGGGGTTTGTTGTTCTTTTGCCCATCAATCCATTTGGTTTTCTCATTCGCCGCCGCCGTAGTAAACGTAATATGAATATTAATACAAAAATCAACCAACACACAGCAACAACAACAGCAACATCCATAAAACAGAAAAAACCAACAACAAAGCAAAGAGGGTCACATATCACAAAAAAAAAAATGAGCAACAAATTCAATAAGGTATTCACGAGCAATAGAGGAGAGAGAGAGAGCATTCTATAACACTGAGATCATTGTCCTGTGGAGGTTTGTTGCGTTTATTTTTTTGATAAAAAAGTTTTTTATTGGGAGTCCTTGTAGATTTGTAATGGTTTAAAAGATATTTTATTTTATTAAATATTCTTTACATTTGCGTTAGTTTTCTTGTTTGTTTTGTTTTTAGTGATTTCATTTTCTTCCTATTTACATGCTCTCCCCCATTGAGATAACTGAATTCATTCCATTTCACTGAGAGGATTACAATTAGTAATGCCAATTTAGTGATTTTTGCATAATTTGACTTAAGTTGGCAAATGATTTAGAAATTTGTAATTTTGATGCATTTTGGGAGGAAAAACAAGGAAATTATTACAGTATTAGAGAAAATAATTAGAAATCAAGAAAATAAAATATTAAATTAGAAAATTATTAATATTAAATTTGAAAATGGATATACAAAAGTACAGAAATATATTTCACCAAATTGAAAGAAAAAAAAAACACTGAAACGTTGAAAAAATTACATTAATTTTTTCATTTGAAATTTCATTTCTATGAATTTTTATTTTCATAGAGATATTCAATGAAATTTAATTTAAAAAAAAAATTTAAATTTTTGAAAACTTCATTGAAAAATTTTATTTCATAGAAAATTTCAATGAAATTATAGTTGCATAAAAATATTGAAATTTAATTTATAGAAAAAATATCCTTGGCATTAAATTATTTATAAAAAATCATTGATTTGAAATTTTATTTTTATAGAAAATTTCATTGAAATTATAGTTTATAGAAAAGTTTATCAATTTTTTTTTATTCTTTTTATAGCAATTAGCATTGAATTGTTATTCTTATAGCAATTAGCATTGAAGTTTTATTTAAAAAATATTTTATCGAAATTTTATTTTCATAAAAAAATGTATTTAATATAAATGTATTTCATAAACTTAATTTCAATTTTATTTAAGGTTTTTTTCCAGAATTTCAGATCAAAATTCCGAATATTTTCTGGCTTTTTAATCAAACGGCAGCTCTTTTTTTAATTTTGAAAAAGTATTCCAAAAAATTTCAACTGCTCTCAAATATTTTTGTTTTTAGAGTTTTTTTCCGACAATTCTTTCCAATTTTATTTCTATACATAATTCAATTGAAATTTTATTTTCATAAAAATATTCAGAGTTTTTTTCTGAATTTTATTTTTATAAAAAAATATTGGCTTTTTTTAATCAAACGGCAGTTTTTTTAATTTTTCGATAAATTGTTCTACAATATTTCCTTAGAATTTTTTCCGAAATTGTGCAGAATATTGAAAAATGTTCTCAAAATTTCCCTTTTTTCCAAATGAGTTTTTTTTTCCAAACGAATCTCGAATGTCCCTAAAATTTTTTTGCAATTTTATTTCTATAGAAAATGTCAACTTTGACAAATTTGAATTTAATTCGCATATGCAGGTTTCGCACCAGGGTGGAATAAATACAAGTTATCAACATACGACAATTGTAAAGCCACATAGCCCATTATGCCTGATGAGCCGCTTAACCAACGGCGAAACGCGTCGCATAATGGTGGGTACGTAGGTTCTTCTCCTGGCTTTCCTTTTCATTAAGCTCGACTCGAAATAGTATAAATAATCACTTAAAGTTTTTCAAAATATTCAGAATTTTTTTCTGAATTTCAGATGAATCACCAGAAAAAGTTTTGGATTTTAAATAAAACGGCGGAATTTTTAACTCCTGAAATGGTATCTGAAAATCTTTTTTTTACAATGCTTCTTCGTCCCAAGAGATTTGTCCGAAATTGTGCAGAATGTTGACTTTTTTTAAATTTCCTTTCATTTTCATCCAAATTTTTCTCAAACAATCCCGAATTTTCCGCTCCGACAATTGCTCAGGATTTTTTATTGCCAACATTAGTGATATTTGACTTAATATTAAACGTTTCTGAGTTATTTAAATGTTATTTTTTGAGAAACCATAATTGTCGAAGATAAAAAATTGACCTCTACTATTATTATTACGAAAATTATATTAATCTTTAATTTCCCTATGCAACTCAACAGCTATTTTCCATCATATTCCGTCATCTCCTGGATATTTTTTTATTTATTCGAATCATATTTCGAAGTTCATCCCTTTTATTTCCCATAGAAAACATTTTTTACAAATATTTTAATATTGGGAATTTTTTTTGTTCAATTTATTTATTTTGAATCAAAAGTCAATGACCATTCCTTTAATTTCCCATAGAAAATGTTTTTAACGAATACCTTTCAATATTGGCGATTTTTTGTCAAATTAGCGTTTTCCCCATTAACAGTTGACCACACTGCTACTCAGTAACGCAGGCCTATTTTTATTATTACACAAAAAAAAAAAACAAAACAAGAAGAAAACGCATGCAATTTTTTACACATTTATCGGCTGACGTTTACTTTTCTTTAAGAATTGTGTATTTTTTTAAAGACAAATGGATTAATCATTACACTTGTTGTAGTTGTTGTTGCTCTTTATTTTCTTATTTCCCTGTGTTGGCTTTTACAATATTAAATCAATTTTGTATTTTTAGAATTGTTTGATTTTGTTGTCTTCTTTTGCCTCAAGAAACTACTTTAAAATTGCCTCATTCTCTGTTTTTCTTCCCCTCACTATTGCTCTCGCACACATTACTTTGTTCGAGGAACATTTCTTTTAATTGAATTTTCTCTTCCCTCCCCCCTCTCTCTCCATTAACTATTAATTTCTCTCGTGACAGCAGAATCACATTGGGCCGCCTGGTTCTTCTTCTTCTTGTTCTTAATAGTAATAATAATGATGATGGTAAAAAAAAGAGGAGGAAGCAGCAGCATCCCAAATAAAGACAAGAGCAGCAGCAACAACAACAACAAAACCAACATTGATATTATTCCGAAGAGAGTATTATTACGATGTGCTGTTGCTTGCTTGCTCAACACTGTAGGTGGGAAGCGATATTGTTTGTGTGTGAAGATTATGGCACAAGGATGGAAAATGAAAAATGTGAAAAGGTACCAAAAGAGTACTTTTTTAATAAAAGAGTACTTTTTCCAAGAAAATAAAAAAACAAACATTTTATTCAGTTTCATAAAGATCGATTTTCAGGATATCATCACTTAGTCTATCTTTCTGATGCAATCTTGCTTCTTGCGATTGCATTGGAATATGTATTCTATTGACTAATTTTAATTTCACTACCTCTTTCTCGAAAGCCAATATACCCCAAACTAGCATGAATTTCTGTTCCAAAGTGCTCTTGAAATTATTGAAGTAATCACGACGACTATGAATCTCCTGATTACATTCATAGTCGTCGTGATTACTTCAATAATTTCAAGAGCACTTTGGAACAGAGCATGCCAAATTGAGCATCTGACAAACATATCCGGTTAAAAAGATTGGAACTGATAAATTAATTTAATGTTTGTAATTTCAATCATAACGGAACAGTTATCAGTCTTAAACCTATTCAGTTTTTCAAGAGGAATATTGCAATCACATCAATATATTTATCTGCAATACTTTTGCCGGCCAATCCATAAAAAGTTATAATCCAAATAAATATATATATCATGGTGTAATGAAGGATTGGAATGGTACTGAAATGGTCACGGGGGTACTACGGTACTTTTTTGGGTAAAAAAGTACTGAAAAAAGTACTATTGTACTGAATTTTCCATCCCTGTTATGGCAGCGTGCGTACGTGTGTGTATGCGTATGCATGCATCATGCATGAAGAATCTTTCGTTCTCATTTGGGGAGTTTATTTTTGTTGTTGTATTTTTGTTTTTCCACTATTTTGTTTTGTGCCTTGTGCTTGTTTAGTTTTGTTGTATTGTGGTGGTGGTGTGTCATGTGTTGGTAACGTCGGCGGCATTGTGATGTTGTGTTTTGCTTTCTTCTTCCTTTTTTCTGGCGACTCTCTCTCTCACAACAGTGATAGCAGCATCCACTCAGAGTGCAGAGAATAACAGAAAATACAAATTTAATACAAAGTTTTTATCGTGCTCAGCGGTTGTGTCAAATAAATCAGCTGCAAGTCAAAGACCGAACGTGCCAAATTGCAAAAGAATTAAATTTATTAATTTACTAAATATTACTATTTTCTTTTTAGGAAATCTCATTAAAAAACAAACAAAAAGTGAACTAAACTAAAAAAAGAACTGTAATTTTGTGTGCAATAAAAATTTGTTTTATCATCAAACAAAACAAAGCAAAATCAAACAAAAATCTAACTTCCTTTCTTCCCTCTCGCAATTGAAACTCCTTTATTTTGTGCATTATCAAAATCTTTACTCAATTACAAAAAGGATATCAAATATCATCGTCTAACGATCATCAGCATCCAGAAAAGCAATAAAAAAATTGAATTAAAATTTTCTTTAATTTTTTGTAAAAAAACAAACGCAACATTTTCTACATCATGAGTGTCTGTGAAAACAACAATTCTGTCCAGCAACAGCTGCAACAACAAACGCTGCAACATCAGCCAGTTGTAATACAACAGCAACAACAACAGCAGCAGCAGGTGACACAACAACAAGTGCAACAGCAGGTGCAGCAACAACAGCAAGTCCAGCAGCAGTTGTCACAACAAACACCACAACAACAGCAACAAACCACACAAAGTATTGCTGATTATTTGGCTCAATTACTTAAGGATCGCAAACAATTGGCAGCATTTCCGAATGTCTTCAATCATGTGGAACGTTTATTAGATGAAGGTAAGTTTCTTTTTTTCAATTATTTAAGAGGAATAAATTAATTTATCCTTTGTTATCCTAGGTAATAAGAATTGAATATAGATCATAAGCAATTAGAGTTAAGTGTGAGGAAGGAATTCTCAAGAAAATCGGGATTTTTTGAAAAGCAAACAAAACCGCTCTTAAATTAAGGCTTCCGATCCTCTGAAATTGTCATTCGAGAAAAATGCCACGAAAATTGGTTGTTCGTGGTATCCGATCCTCTCAAAGGATCTGTTTAACGAGAATTTTGTATGTTCGTGATGAATTTTGAAGGCTTCAGGGCTGATACGGATTAAAAAAAAAAAACGAACAAAGCAATCTCTTTAATCGAAGCATCATATCCTTTGAAATTGTCATTCAAGAAAAATGTCAAGAAACCGCAATATCAGAAATGCAAAATTGGTTGTTCAAGGCTACCGATCTTCTCAATGGATCCGTTTAACAAGAATGTTATATGTTCAGCATGAATTTTGAAGGCTTCTTCAGCTGACTCGGTTTTAGAAAAGTGAACAAAGCGAGACCTTAAGTCAAAACATCCGATTATCAGAAATTGTATTCAAGAAAAATGTCAAGATACCGCAATATCAGAAATGAAAAACTGGTACATTGTGGTATCCGATCCTCCCAAAGGATCTTGCTTTCAAGAATATTTTTTTTTTTGATCAGGTATCAATCAAGGTATCCGAAAATCTGAAGTTGACTTTCAGATGAAAATTTTAAGAAACATGTATGTTAGAAATTCAAAATTGGTAGATCGCAAGGCATCCGATCCTCTGAAAAGATCTTTGACATGAACATGGTTTTTGAAGGCTGATCAACTGCTGATTTCGGCATTGAATATGATTTGTGGTGCTGGAAAAGGGTGATATTTTGAGAAGAGGAAAAAGTAAACCTCTGTGAAGATCGCAAGTTTTGAAATGGACAAAAAATAAACCCATTTAAATTGCCGAGAATCTGTTTATGATATGGGGCTACTAGGAAAATACTCATGTTATGGTAAGACATTGAACAGAAGTTCCTGGTGAATATTTCGAGTTGTTGCAATCGGAATGACAAATACCTTCATGAAATCTTCTGCTTCTTGAGGATTTCTATAGGCAAAAAACATCTTAAGACCTTCTTGAGAACCTCTAAAAATGAGAAGGCTATAGGAAATGCTTTCATGTAGCCTTCTGAAAGGATATAGGAAGATGATGAGGTCCTTAAGGCTTTCATATAAAAGTAAGATCTTGAAATCCGTTAAAAAATAGGATCTTATTCGGGCCTTTTCCGTAAATAAGAATTTTTTGCACCTTCTTAGCTCTATTTTATCCTACTGAAATTTATTCTAAGTAGAAACTCCCCCTTTTTGATAGCTTCTATAAGAAGAAGACCCCTTGTAGTCTTCTATAATAAGTCCTTGGGGACTTCATATATAAGTAAGAAGTCCCTTAAAAAAAATTAGAAATTCACGCCATGATTTTACCCTTAAAAATTTAGAAATCCACGCCTTGATTTGGCCCTTCAAAATTAGAAAAAAATTGGCATTTACAAAAATTTTCTTTAAAAAATCCCCGCCTTGTTGGATGGACCTTGAAAAAATATTATTTAAAAAATTAACGCCCCTGAAAAATATCGATTGAATCTTTCTTTGAGTCATCCACAATCATGACTCCTTTTTTGTTTATATAGAACCGATCGAAGGCCTTTTTCAATAGACAAATATTGTGATGGTTTCTTGGGTATATAAGAGGCAGGGACGTACGCAGGGCGGGGTTGAAGATTGTCAAAAAATGTAGAGGGACATATCTTCCGATAGAATACTGGTTTAGAGACCAGGATTTTCAAGTGCAATATTTTGTCTTTTTTTTTCAACTTCTACCCTCTTTTGTATTGTCCAAGAATTTAGAGGGACTGACCTTTTAAAGGAGGTACCTCCTTTAAAGGGTTCCACAATTACTTCAAATTTGTAACTCAAGAAATACATTTTCCAGCATTTCCGAATGCAATAATCTGCTGGTTTTTTTATATCTCGAAGTGTATGGTATGTGATGGTGTGCTATTGGTGCATTATGCCACTGTAAAATACACCAGCGGCAACGGCAGCAGCAGCATCAGTTTCTCTATGGCGTTGTTATTTGATATATACATTACAAAAACAACAACAACTGAAACAGACATGTGTTCCTATTTTAAGTGTAACACACATTTGAATTGTTTGCACCCAACGTCAGGCACTGGAATTTTTATTCTGTGTTTATAACAAAAAAAAAAAACGACGTCTTTTACACAATTCTGCCCGCTTGCAAAAGGGGCTGCCTAGGCAGTCTAGGCTTGCAGGCCACTTTACATTTGTTTCTCTTCTTTTTATTTATTTGGTTAATGCCGTTTTTTTTTGGAATAGCTAGCATCACATGAACAACAACAGAAAAAAATAAGTGTAATGAACTGTGTGCTCTGCCATACCAGGCCATGCCATGCCATTCAAGAATCCTCCTAATGAAGATCGTGCCCATGTAGCCATTTAACCGAATGTGTGTACTCTACTCTGTGTCTTTATTGAAAGTGAATACACAAAGTAAAAGGAATTTGGAAAAATAGAAAAGAAATGCAACAACAGAATCCAAAGAGGCAAATGTAACTTCAGCACTCACTGTTACTTCGGTTGATTGCTCGGTTGGCCACCAAAGCAATCCAAGGCAATGGCAGCAACAATGAATGTGTACCTTTAAAATTTTGTTTTACAAAAGAAACTTTTCTTGTGGCTTTTCCTGTTTCTTTTCCATTTCTTTACTTTATTTTAATTTTATTTCATTTCCTTTCCCTTTTTTCTTTTTGCGACTTTTTTTTTTTTTTTTTGTTGTGAGTTTTTTTTTGTATTTTATTCATTCAATATTACGATAAAGTAACCAAAATGGAGACAATAAGCAACAAAGAGAGTGTAACGTTTCTCTGTGGAGAATAGAGAGAGATTTCCCCCTCTACTCCCTGTCCTTTTTACAGAGGTTTTCATTCTCTGGTAGTTTGTAATTGTGAGGAGGTAGGCACTATTAGTGGAACTTGTCATTCCTTTATGGTCATCTATACAAATAAATTTCCCATTTATTGACAATCATTATGGTCATCCTCATCATCATCCCGAACACACGACGATTTTGAAAATGCAAGCGTGTGCATGCCCACACGCACACACCATAATATGTTTAAGCCCCATAACCAGGGTTTCCAGGCATCAATATCACCATCGCTATCAACAACAACAACACCATCACCACTATCATCATCATGACGATGACGACGTCAACTAGCCAGGGTGCCACCACACATGTGTTGTTGTTGTTTTTTCATTCTTTCTCGATTTGTTGACCATTATGGTCTTGCATATAAATTAATCGATTAATATAAACCAAAAATGAATAAAAATCTCTCCCCCAACAACAACAACAATTGTAATAAGTGATTGTAATAAATGTGTCGTACGTACGTCCGACCCTCCGTCCATCCATCGTCTATTGGTGATAGGCCAGTGAAGAATATTGTCAGGTATTTTGTGTGAGGCATTGTCAGATGCACTGCATTGAGAGAAGCTAAGCCAGAACTATAGAGGGGGAGAGAGGGCGACAAGTTAATAATTCTTTTCTAAAGGGATTACACAAAAATTATATAGGAAATTCATTTTGTTGTTGTTTCACAATGTAGTTCCGAGCCTCACCCCTCTTGAAGGAATTTATTAGAAGTGATTTGAGGAATATAGTGGATTTTGGGCAGGTTTTTATAACCTTTCGATGCACTGTGGTACATGAGGGAATATTATACCTTTCTGCACATATATTTGTAATATGTAAAAGGAAATAGATATAGAACCCCATAGTTAATTTTAAGTATGAAAACAAAATCTGGTCAGACGCTGCTTCGACCTGGCAAATCCAAATGCTGGAAAAAACCCCACTAAAAATACATCGACATGCCAACTATTCGTCGACCATAAAGCCGCATTCGACAGCCCAACCCCCAAGCCATGTCTGTGCTTGTCATGGCAGGATAACATTAACTGACACAAGGTCAGCAGTTAAAGTCGGAAAGGACCTTTCAAAGCCCTTCAATGCCAAACGAGGATTCAGACAAGATGACAGTTTGTCGTGTGACCCGTTTAACATCCTGCTGGAAAAGGTAATACGAGATGCAAAGACGCTCTATAAGACGTCGATACTACCCGTGCTTATACCCATTAATATTTTTTTCGAAGGCCGATCATCCATACAGGGTGTGGATTTTTTAAAGAACATTTTTTTCAAGGATCCATAAAAGGCGTGGATTTTTTAAGGAATATGTTTGGAAGGCCTATATAAGGCGATGAGTTTTTAAGGTGCCACAGTATGACCAAATGCGTTGAAAATTAGCATAGCGTTTTGAATTGAGTCTAGAATGACATGTGATAAGTTTTGTTGAAATTCGTTCGGATTTAGATGTAGCTCCTATATTTATTTTTGACCGATTTCATGGAAATGGTGCATCAAGGTGCCAAAGTTTGTTCAATTTACACGACATTTTGTAGAGCGAAATCGGTTCCGATATATATTTTCACTCACTCCCATATATATTTTCATCCGATTTTAGGTAAATGGTACCTTAAACACCCAAAATTGGTCTGCATGCTACGAAATTTTCTCAAGTTTTATCGAAATCGGTGCAGATTTGGATATAGCTCACATAATAATTTTCGTCGGATTTTATGTAAATGGTGCGCCACATACCTAAACCGATTTCGATTTACATGAAATTTTGCAGAGCGTATTAAATTGAATCTAGAATGAAGTGTATACAATTTCATCGAAATCGTTTCAGATTTGGATATAGCTGCCATATACATTTTCATTCGATTTTAGGTAAATGGTTCCTCAATATCCCAACATGTGTACGATTGCTACGAAATTTTGCGTATCGTATTGAATTGACCCTAGAATGAAATTGGTTCAGATTTTAGATCTATCTCCCCTATA